AAGAATAAAAATAAAAGAAAAGAAGTAAATTAAAATAAACCCAGAGAGACTTAAAATAATATTAAAGAAAAGAAAAATGTAATTTCAAATTGTATAGACATGTTGAAATGAGGACACAGAATGGCACGAGTCTAAAAAAGTAATTTTGTTATTATTATTATTATTATGATTTCTTTATGCTATGTTTCCTTAGAAGTTATAGGAGAATTGTCATTTAAGTGATAGTTCTTTTCTTAGTATATGGGATGTTCCCTGTAGAGAGATCTTCTAGGCAACTTGCATGTTGATGTCACCTGGGACACTGTTAATAAAATTGTCCATTCCTTTTCTCAGAGCTCCGATTACTATTGGTACAGTCTCAGTCTTTATTCCCCATTTCCTGTTTATCTCGATCACCAGGTCCTTGTAATTGGACAATTTCTCGATCATTTTTATGGGGCTGTTTATCTCACATGGTACTGCTATGTTAATAAGTATATACTTCCTGAATGCATTGTCTTTTGTGATAATATCAGGTCTGATGGGTTTCTATTTCCCTGTCGGTTTGAATTGGCAGGTCCCAGAGGAAAGTTACTTCGTTATTTTGGGTGGCTGTGTCTGGTTGGAGCTCTTTCCATTCCTCAGTTGTTTCGATTTTCTGCTTTTTTCTATATCATCAAGTGCACATATGTCGTTACCTTGTCTGTGGGTATTATTATTATTATTATTATTGTTGTTGTTGTTGTTGTTGTTGTTATTTCCTTTGATTTCTGGTGTGTACACATTTCTTTCCGGATCCTGCCCAGAGACCTATGGTCAAAAATAGTATCATGACATTTTCCACTGAGCAATTTAAAAAATAATAAACAAAAAAAGCACACATATATTTTACATAGATAAAGCCCTTCGTAAGGTGTGGGCTGTACATGTGAGGACAATTTTTTTTATATTTCTTCACGCATTCCTACAAGGAATCCCTTCAATGTGTTTATTGGACTTTTTATAATCAATCTGAGGGCTCCAACTACAACAGGGATTGTTGATGATCTCATGTGCCACATTTTTTAGATTTAGTGTTAGTTGTAACCGTAATTTCTATGCTAACAGTTTCTTCTCACACACTTGTAGATCTCTCTTCCCGCTCTTTTCTCCCCGGTAAACTTTTACCTTCAAAAGTTTTTAATTCAATGTCAATCATTATCTTCAGTATTATTAATTCGTCTCCTTTTATGGTTCGCTTTTCTTTTTCGCAGTAATTAAGGAAGTTTGGTACCTTCTTCTGTGTATTTAGAGATTCTCTATGAAATTCATCGAAGAATTTGCAATGTTATCGGCCCCAACCAGGCATCTCAGATTCAGTCCCATTCGTAATTTATTAAATTAAATTCCCTATGCCTTTTCTATAAATATTTCGTGATAATCTTTCTCAGATTTCGTCTGTGGTAGACGTTTTAGAATTTTAATCGCAGTACTAGATCGGCAGTTAGGTCCCATTCTTTTTCAGTTGAAATAGCTACATATAACCGTAAGCTTTATGTTAACAGTTTCTTCTCATGCTTGGGAAACTCTCTCTCTTGGTTCCTTGCTTTCCAATCAGCTTTAATCTTCAAAAATTGAAATATAATATCAATCTTTATAGTCTGTCATATTTATTTGTCTTCTTTTATTCTACTTAACGCTATTCTTTCCTCTAATTCTTTCAGACTCAGTAAACCTCTTTCGTCTTATTGTCTTTATTCCTTTGCTTGTGGTGAAATGATTAAATGTCCCAATACGTTTAAATTTGAAATCTCCTACATATAAAAAATATTAGTTGCTGTTTTTGTTTAACGGTATATCAACTCCTTATAGACCTTTAATGAGGAAATGTAATTTTCTATTGAGTCTTGAAGTAATGAAATATATGTTATTCTGCTTTCACAATTGGTTACATGGTAGAGAATACTCAGCTATATATATGTTTGTGTGAGTCTAATTACTAGAGTCGGTTTTATGTGTGTATTATGTTGTAGTTTTTGTTGGTGTTATATTTTAGAATTGTTATGGAGTGATTTCACAGTGGAGGCTTGTATTTGTAGTAAGTGGGTCCTAAAATAGGTTCGATGTACTGAACGTTAGGAACTTGATATAATAGGTATAACACAGAGTAATCTAGTCGTGGTCGCTGATACTTTAGAATTCGACTAACTGTCGTCCAGCATCGACTAACTCACCGACTGACTCCTACTCATTATAGGTGGGAGAGTCTATTAACTATAGAATAGGTGTGTTCCACTATAACAAGAATGCAGTTTGATTTAAATCGTTCGAAAATAATCTATGAATTAATCTCATGAAAGTGTTTCTCATGTTGGTTATTTGATTTTTTAGCGACATATCAACATCCATGTGTCATTCACTGCCGAACTGTAAATAATTTGGCCAATTCGATGGCTTCAGTTAAATATATTTCGAACGCAATCATATGCCTTCATATACATAGAATGTATTACTGGTTTATATTACTGCAAACCACTGTAAATTACCTAATGTGAGGAAAAACTAGAAATCGATGACACCCTGCGTCTCGAGTGAGTCTAAAACTGACCGTACGGTGAAAGAAAGGAAACTAAATTTGCACAAGGATGTAGATAATTAAAATAAATAACAACATTTTTTTCATGTACCGTCGAATGATTCTTCCCAATTCTTGCGAGGATTCGTGGCATTAGAACATTAATGCATATTCTAGAAATAAATCGATAGCATGTTGACTTTCCTTGAGATTTTCAGTGAAAAAAAAAATAGGCCAAAATGAGTAAACCTCAGAAGAATTGTCGCGCGTAAAGTCTATTTATAATACTTCTATATCCGGGGATTTTTTTTCCTCTAGAGAGAATATAACTATTTTCCGCCGGTGGTTTGTTCTTTTCCTGGCCAAGTCTTTGTAAAAGAACGCTGTGTCCTCGTCTTATTGGATTTCAAAACAAAGTTCATAGGAAAACGTTCAAGAAGCAAACAAGGCAGTTCGTAAAAGAGTATGATCAAATACGTCGTCTTTCCTGTATGGGAAGTTTTGGGGTTTTTTTTTATAAAGAATAAACACATAATTTATTCAAAATAGTTTGCTTTCAATTTTTACTTGTAAATAGTTAGCAGAATAGATTCTTCACGTTTAACTGTCTGTCTTTTTCCAATATTGTTTTGTTTGCCCGCCATTTTTTTTTGTATCATCCTTTTAGTTATTTCTCGCATCTCTCTTATCTTTCTCTCATTTACTCATTTTAAATTCTTCAGTTGATTTTCTTTTCTATCATCGTTTTTTTTTTATTTCTGCTTTCTCTAATTTTCTTTACTTTATTTCGTTTCTTTGCCTTTTTTGTTGTTTTATATTTCATTTTGCTTCCTTGTTTTTAGATTTCAATCTATCATATTTTTATTTAATCTTCCTTTCTTTTATTTTTTTTGTTAATTTTTGTTTCTGTTGCTTTGCCATTTTTTTGTCCTTTTCACTGGATTCTTTCCTTGAGAATTTTCTCGTTTTTCTCTCTTTCACTTATATTATTCTTTTCTTTTCATTTCTCACCATTTCTTTTCTTATTCTTGTTTCTAAATCTAAGACTTACACCACTCCCAAGCATTTCGAGATTTCATTATTATTATTATTATTATTATTATTATTATTATTATTATTATTCAGACTCCATTTTTCTTTATTTCTTCTTTTTCTCTTTTTACCGCCCTTTTGCTTTTTTTTTTTTTTTTTACTTATTCATCATCTGTTCTTTTTTCATTTCCTCTTTATTCATCTCCCGTTATCTGGTCTTTCCTTTCTTTCTCTCTTGTTTTCCTTATTTTTCTTTCTTCATTCCATCAGCCATATTTTTAATATACTTCGCATTTCTCGTTAAGCAACGTCGTGCCTGGTCAGTACCTAGATGGGCGAACATTTGGGAATACCGGGTGTTTGGATGTGCATAGGGTGTAACGGATAGGATAATTGTTCGAAATTTTTAATCCGAGTCCCAATTCCCTTTGGATTAATTATTATATTCACTTAAACGCAATGGGAACTGTAGGAATCCATCTCTTCTTCCTCTAGCTATAGGTTAATTTTTATTAATATATCATTATTACCCCCCCCCCGCAAAAAATACATTCCTACAATCTAAAAATATTTTCTGTTTTCGAATAACCAATTAATTAATCGATCATTTATTTTTAAATTTCTTTCTTTATTTTTTTTTTTATTTTCACTTCCGGGCAGAAGAGGATCTCCAGACGAGGCTATGTCGAAGGGCAGAATCTCATCTCCTGAGACAGCTACCCGATCTCGTTTTTTTACGGGATTTACGGGAATTTTTGGCCGAGCCTATGGGCTCTGTTACCCCACATATAAATTCGGCCTTGTGCCACATCCGACTGCGGGAGGCGGTTAGTGATTATCAGCATGATACGGATTACTATTTGGATCACTTTTCGGTGGTTACTGTTTGAGTGGCTAATATCGAGCAAGTACTATTAGTGCGAGTGCTATTCGAAGGCGTCTGACACAAGTATTGTTCAACGGCGTTACTATAGTTGTATCTGCGATTACAAAGTCTCTACTACAACGAGCATTACGAAAGTGACAACGATTATTCTTTGACATCACAAAAGTGGAAACGAGTGTTTATTGAAATCACAAAACTTTATTTATTTATTTATTTAATTATTTTTCTTTTTCTTTCTTTCTAAAACTTTAACTCTTTTTTGCCTATACTTTTCATTTGAACTTTTTCTTTCTCTGGCTGTTACTTTTTCTCCTAAATCCCTTTTTCTTATTTCTCTCTTATATGCAATATTTCTCTTCATCTTTCCTTCACATTTCTCTAAAGTTTCCCTTAAATAATTTTCGCTTACTTTTCTCTATTCCATTCTCTCTCATTCTCTCTCTCTCTCTCTCTCTTTCTCTCTCTCTTTCTCTCTCTCTCTCTTTCTCACTCGTTTTCTTCACTATTCCTGCTATTGCTCTTATTTTTCCTTCTTCCTTTCTCTTTTAGGTCACATTTCTTTTTATCTCCACTCTCTTGTTTCTTTCTTTCGGGCATCACCTTTTTTTTTAATTTCCTATCTCTGACATTTCCACGTTCTTTCTTTCTTTCTATTTTTCTTTCTATTTATGTCGTATGTCTTTTTATCGTATTTGTCTCTTACTTATTTGAGGTGTTCTTTTTCTAACATTTGCCATCCTTTCTTTTTTTCTTTCTCTTACACCATCTAAACTTATTCCCGTTTTACACTTTCAACTTTCTTTTCTCTTTCTTTTCATTCTTTTTCTTTTTCCTTTCTTTATCTTTAATGTTTCCAATCTTTTTTTCCATTTTTACAACTTTCGTTTTTACGTTGTCCATTTTTTTAACATTCTGTGCTACTGAACGTAATATTTATTCAACCCCAGCTTAATCCAATAAAACAATCCATATTCCATAACCTTTTTAGGCAAAAATGAAACTATGGGATGTAATGGGTTAATATTATGCAGTAAAAACATATAACTTAAACCATATTATTATTTGTCGTTCCTCTATTAAATCAGTCTTTCATTTTCTCTCTTCTTTTCTCGACATTTTTATACTTTTTTCTTTTGAAATTTTCGCTTTTATATCATTTAAACCAACAGTAAAGCGAATTTTCTTTTTCTTCCTTCTTTCTTTCTTTCCTTTTTATGTCATTTTGCATTTTTCTATATAACCTTTTCATTTCATGTTTACTTTTTCTTTCGTGATTTCTTACTTTTTGCATATTTTTTCTTTTTGTATATTTTTCATTTTCTTTCTTTCTGACATCAGTATTCTTTTTCTATATTACCCTTTCTTTCTTTCTTTCCATTTACCTTTGTATTATTTCCTTATACTCTTTCTATCTTTCTTTTTCTTTCTCTCTCTCCCTTGATCTCTGTCTTTCTCAGTTTCACTTGTCATGTTCTTTTTCTTTCTTTAATATTTCTCTGTCATTGGTTGTCTTTTTTTGTCTTCTTTCTTTCTTTCTTTCTTTCTTTCTATTTACCTTTCTCTTATTTCCTTATTCTCTTTCTTTAATTCTTTCTTTCTCTCTCATTCTTTCTTTCTTTCTTTTTCACTTGTCAAGTTATTTGACTTCCTTTAATATTTCTCTCTCGCTGGTTGCCTTTTTGCATTTCTTTTTTTCTTTTCTTTTCTTTTCTTTCTTATGCCATCTATAATTATTTTTCGCCACTTCATTTTCATATATATATTGTACACTTTTACATTATTATTATTTCTCTCTTTCTTTCTGTCTGTCATTCATTCATTTTTTCTTTCCTTCTTTCTCTCTCTTCTTCTCTCTTTCTTTCTTTTTTCTTTCTTTCTTTCTCTCTGTTTCTTTCTTTCTCTCTCTCTTTCTTTCTTTCTCTCTCTTCCTCTCTCTTTCTTTCTTTTTTCTTTCTTTCTCTCTCTTTCTTTCTTTCTCTGTCTCTCTTTCTTTCTTTCTTTCTTTCTTTCTCTCTCTCTCCTTCTTTCTTTCTCTCTCTCTCTCTTTCTTTCTTTCTTTCTTTCTTTCTTTCTATTTTCGGTGTTTGTCTTCCTTTCTTTTTTACATTATCTTTATCCATTCTTCTTGTTTATTATTACTAACTTTCTTGTTTCTTTCTCACGTTCTTTTTTGCTTGGTCCCGTTTCCTTTCTTTCTTTCTTTCTTTCTTCATGTTTCTTGTTTACGTGCAGCGAAATTAACAGAATTGGATTTTTTTTTTGTTTTTTTGTTTTTGTTTTTTGAAACCACTGATTTGTTTTAACAAAGTGATTATTTCTTTTCTCAAATTCCAATATAATTGGTTCACTTTATTTTTGAAAATCACTTTCTTCTCATCGTTTGATGCTTTTAACGGTGCTATTCACATATCCAAATTATCTGACTTTAAAATCTTAAAACCAGAGACGCAATGCAATGTCATGGATTATTGCACGCAATTATAAGCGTCTAGGACAATCATTACGCATCATCTGGAATATTAGGCGACCAACATATATCCATTCACTGGCTTCTACGAATTTAGTTCAAACTTTCATGTCTTAATAGTTTGCTAGGCAAATATTTAGAATCTATTAATTTATGTATAGTATTTTCCTCAATTGTTTTGTTTTATAAAATCATTTTAGATCAACACTTTCCGTCGTAGTAACTATGATGTAGTAGAATTTATAATTTTGTGTTGACGAGATATTTATTTCCATCAGATTTCAATAATTTTAGTCTGGCTTGCACAAAATTAGCCACAGAAAAATACATTGTGATGAATTCCAATTTCACATGTCTCTAATTTAATGTCGTATTCATTTTTTGTATAATATTATCCCATTCAAATTATTTTTTCTATTTTGCCCCATAATACCATTAAATATTGCGTGTCTTATTGAATTAACTTGGCTTTACACTATTTACATTATTCAGACTATTGTCCTCATCTTGTACGCTCCGGCCTTCTACAGATGGTTTGAATGTCGAACTGAACACTTTATTTCGGTCACTAGGCTAGACTGTTCTAGTTCCATTTGCCATGTTTAATGGATGTCAGTTATCTGTTATTTCCTGCTAATTTCCCTCTGAAAGTTCTCCACTGAACTCACACTCTTTGGATCCTGTCACTGGATCTAACCAACGCCTTTATCCACTGTGCCATGTGTCCTTGAAGCCTTCTTCAGTTGGTTAGAATGTCGAACTTAACTCTTTATTTCGCTCACTGGGGTAGACTGTTTTACGTGAAATGTCTAATGGATGTCAGTTATTTCCTGTTAATTCCCCTCTGAATGTTCTACACTGCCTTATCCACTTAACCAGGAATTGAACTCAATCTTCGGGTCCTCCCACTGGATCTAACTAACGCCTTTATCCACTATGCCATGTGTCCTTGAGGATATCTGTGTATGAATTTCTGGGTATTATAAACCTAATATCTTCAGCAACATTTTTACCAGTGCTCATATTTCAAATTTTGCTGTTATCATTGCATATTTTTTACCAGAGCTCATATTGCAATTTTTCTTGTTATTATCGCTTTTCTCTGGCACTTCTTATTATTGGTTCCCATATTGTATTCATTTCTATGCTTGGTCGGCTCAGAAGATTTTTGTGGCCTAGCATATGGGAATTAACATGAGATAACTGACATCCATTAGACATGCCACGTGGAAATAGAACAGTCTACCCCAGTGAGCGGCATAAAGGGTTAAGTTCGACATTCCAACCACCTGATGAAGGCCGTAGCGTACAACAGCCGAAACGTTGTGATAAACATGGCGATAAAGATGGGGACAATAGTCCGAATAATGTAAATAGTGTACATAATACCTCATCTCAGAAATATAAATAGATACTAAGTTGGCTTTCAATAAATATTTTGTTCAGGAGCACAGGTTTGCTTTTTTAACAATCCTTTTACTCAAGCATGGCAATAAATCTACTAGAAAGCAAGGTTAGAGAATATAAGAAAACAGCTAAAAAGAAAAGAGATTGAGAAGTAAAATACCGAAAGAGAGTTCCCCAAACGAAAGAAGAAACTGTCAGCATAGAACTTACGGTTACATCTAGGCATTTTCACGGTAAACTGATGAGAAATTCTGAATCTGGTACTGCGCTTAAATATTGTAAAATCTAAGTAACATAGACGAAAGTTCATCAAGACAATTACCATGAAAGTATATACATAGAAAATACACAAGCAAGGGAAATGACTAAGCTGAGGTGCCAGATCAGGGCCAATAACATTGTAGATTCCTTTTTGCATTTTATCAAATATCTCGAAATATATAGCAGAAATCAAACCAGATGTGTTAGCAATATTTAAAGCATGGATGAATGGTCGTCTTATAAATATGTAAGAAAGAAAAATTGTCTAGCGCGACACAGTGAAACAAATTTCCTTCCAGCAGACCTTGCAATTAATTCAATAAAATCTTTCTTCTTCATACCGGCTGAAATTATTAGTCCCAGAAGCAGCAATAAGTCACTGTTCTGGTGGTTAGCATCAGCCACGCTGATGGTAGACAGAAAAGGTTCTCCTAAACGAATAAAATTGCTTATCAATTTATTTATATTAATCAGTTTAGCATACACTCTAGTGAGTGATGCAGACTGCCTATCTGTTCATGATCGGGTGTAAAGAGTTATCAAGAGGATCAAGGTTAGGTGTCGAGAAGAATGGGACAACCAAAGCAAATCACATCTAGATAATTCGGGACATTCTTAATCGGAGACAATCTTAACGCACTGCGTTACTTAACATGATGGTATTTCTAATTGGGAATGACTATGTTTAAATGTTTTATTTTTTATTTTTCAGTACTAGTCACGATTTAGCTCATATGTGCCTAATATGAGTTTATCGGACTGGGTTTACGTAAAGGATGTGAATGTATCATTCTTTGTGCTGACTATTTCGTTCTCTACAGCTTATCAACACTTGTAGGTTATTTAAATGCAGTCATTTTAGCATCTCTATTACATCAGGGACGGGTCGTTTTATTATCTATCAGTTAGTCAGTTATGTGCCATGCGTGATACACGCTTAGACGATCATGTATCTGTTATGGAATCTTATCCATAATAATAATAATGGACTATTCCATATTTAATAAATACTGCGCCTCAGGAGTAGACAAGGAGTCAGTAGTTTAAGTCGAGTCAAGAGTCGAGTCAGAGGCAGTCCGAAACAGAGTCGCGTTCAGACAATTACTTCAAGACATTGTAAGAGTGACACTGGTCGAGACTACATTGTTCTCTCTACTAAACCTGATTGTTCATACTAACACTTTCTACTTCTCAGTATATATTCATGTTTGTAATATATCTGTGTTATTCCATATCCGTGTTCGAGTTCTTCTTTATTGGTTCTACCTTGGACTATCACCGTGGTACAAGGAACCGGACCATAACAGTATCTTTCGATACAAGACTGACGAGGTTGATTTTTCCCGCAGTAGGTTGCCATCTCTTTCTGTGGTAGACCAGTTGCCATCCAAGGCTATAGAAGCCGCAGTAGGTT